GTACACACATAAACTTTTCATATTTATTTGAAAAGTTTTCATAACGATTACGGTTTTGCATGGAGAGTTTCTATGGTGGGTTTTTCCTCATTCGCTCTCTCTCCCTCTCTCGATGTCTTTCAGTTTTGTGTATGTATGAAAATTATACGCACTCTTTATGGCTGATTGTTTGCAGAGTGTATGCAGAGAGAGGGAGAGAGAGAGAGCTAGACTCGGCGAAAGATTGAAGGAGAAAGAGAGAGTTAGCTATGGTTTCGTACAAGATTTTTCGATGTTGAATAAAATGCGGTTGTTGGATAAGTGAGAAGTGCGAAATATGAAGAAACATGAAACATGATTTTGTGTATATTTTTGATACAAAGATTTTGATTCGATGGAACGTTGCTATGATAAATTTTGCCGGCTATTTCCATTCACTTCTGTCCTGTCCCGGCTGTGTCTCTCATTTCATGTGGTGTGGTGATTTTACTTTGAGCAGTTTATTTTTGCCCGAAGCTACGGTCAATTTCTCACATTCCGTACCATTCGAAGTTTGTCTAATAACTTCAATCGACTCATCAACTGATTGTCAATACATAAAATACATAAACATCTCTGGCATGCTGTGCACACAAAAAGCGGAAGCAACATCTCTCCAGCATATGTGTGCACTTGTGCATATGAAGCATCATTCCATTGACATAGAATATTTTCCAATCTCAACAGAACCGGATCGGGTTGATTTTTAAGTGTGAAAACTGAATCAAAACTGAATCGAACTCAATTGGCTTTCTGGCTGTACACATTTTGTGGTGTGCTTTGCATGAGCTGGCCAAATTTAGCCAAATTTTTATTAATCAATGTATACGAAAATTCGAAGTGAAATAAGGTAAGCAGCTTTTGACTGATCTCGATTTTGAATGGCGAAAATGGTGTATGCTTGCAAAACACACGACATTTCAATGAATTTCTCTTAGAGAAACTCCGAAACTTCAAAACTGACCAATGCGTACCATTTCATCGGAATGTTTGTTCATTGTTCTTTGCTTTTCCGACTTTATTAATCTCTTGGATATTGGTTATTGCTGATCGATTAGAAAGAGCTTTGCCATGGCCAAAGATTTGCAAATAGATTTAATGTTGCCATAGTTCCGTTCCATGCACCATCACCACCACCATCGTCCAATGTGAGTGCGATGCATAATGCATGGCTCCGAAATCTATATGCCCACTCTTCTCATTTACGTAGCAAAACATCTAAATATAATATTCAGTAATTATACATTTTGCTGGCCATGATTGCGTTCGCTCGTTCACATAATACCAATTTAATAATTTTCCAAGTCAACGCAAATGCATGCCGTTGCAAGTCGATCCTATTTCCACTCTCTCTCTCTCTCTCCTTAAATCTCTCATCTTTTGATATTATGGCAAACATGCACACACATATGAATACACGCTTATATATATGTGTGTGTGCAGACACTCACACCAAATATGCATAAAAAATCTACTCATCCCTAGTCAAAAATACATGCATCACAAACATCTTCTCAATTGAATGGAAATTTTCATATATGTCAAGTATTGAAGCTCTTCTTGACTAATTGACGAAATGAATATTTTCCATGGTCCAAGTCGTTTGGGATGTAGCTTACGACAATGGTCGATTTTCGCCTCTAAGCTTGGATAATGAACGGAGTAAGCTTTGGCGCAGTCGAACGCGAAGCATAGCACAACACAGTACAGACCATTCCCGTCCCAAACTTGCTCTAACTCGTTAGAAGTGAGGTACTTCATGTGATTTACATTCGGGACGATGACTTTACCAAGAAATGTGTTAATTACTTGTTCTTATTTACAATTTGGCTTTGTGGCTTGGTGTGTACGTAGATCCACATTATTGTTTGCGTATATACGCCGAGGAGTTTATTTTGTAAATTTAATTTGATGCTATTATTTTTGCTCTGCTTTGAATTGTCAAAAATCGTTGTGCTGTAATCCTGGCGAAACAGGAGAGGTTATTTTGTGTAACGTTCTCTCTCTCTTTCTCTCATCCTCTCGCTCGCCCGCTCACTCACTCATCCACTCACTTTTGTCTGCTCATTCGTTTGCCTCATTGTGCATTGTATCTACATTATGGAAGGCAGCACGCATCAAAATGAATATTATATTTTCTTTTATTTTTGCTGTTGTTTCCTCTTAATTCCTTGGCTTTGCATGGAAAATGCGTTATTATCGCTTCACTTAGAAGTGCCGGTGTTGCTTTTTGTGGTTTAATAATACGGATTTCATATTGAATGAATCATTCTTGTGTGTTCTTCTTTCGTATTTTCGGTATAATTTTCGGCGTTGTGGTAAGGAAATGCATATTGTAACAAAAATGAAACAAGATACCGGCCGAAGAATTGCAAGAAAATGGTGAGTGCGTTTTGCACAACATATACACGGAGCAATAGAGAGACAGACATTGGCTTATACACACATGGTAGCTTTGAGTCGGAATTCTACTTCAATGTTCACTTTCATCGCTTTTGTCGAAAGGCGATTTTGCTTTGAGCCGTGCTGTGTTGTGCTGTGTGCATCGCAATGCATTGCATACAAACGCACGAAGCATTGGCCTATGTTAGGCGGAAGCTGCTGACTCTGTGCCCTGTGTGTGTATATATGTATGTATGTATGTATCGTTATCGTGGAATGCATGGCAAAGAAGATTGCTGCAATGGTTCGCAATAAATTGAGCAATATAAAGGCGACTTTGAGTTATCTAATTTACTTACTTTTACTGCCTTTGCCTTTTATAATTTTGCAACAGCGTAAATATCTCAAAATTGTTTAAATCAAATTTTCTACTTGAACATCATCCAGGACATCATTTAATTATATTCCTATGCATTGAATGAGCGCATTGAGCTGATGCATGGACCACTTGAAAAACATTCCAGTATTCTGTATGTCTATCTTTCTCTCTCTCACTCTCTCTCTCTCTCTCTCTCTCTCTCTCTCTCTCTCTCTCTCTCTCTTTTACTCTCACATTGCCCAACAAATTGTGTACAACATAGAGACAGGGATACACACAGATATGTAGATTTTGCATTTTATATATGTGTGGACAAAGTTCGAGTGGAACAGAACAGGCAAACGGCCAACCTGAAGTGGATGGGTAAATGCAAAATGAACAACCCAGCATGAACGTTTGCAACTATTTTTATTTAAAAGAATCAAAGCTAATCATGCATGAAAGGGCAGCTAAACTTTATCAGTTTATAAAAGATTTTTCACGCATACCAACATCAACTGGAAATGCAACCGCATCAATCGAGTGAATGAAGCTGCTTCGAATCGGCTTCAGATGCTTTAATATACACTTGTACACATATACATGCAAACAAGTGCCTGTCACTGCTACCACTCTTTGTTCCGTCAGTTGCACAAAAAACCATTTCCAGGAGAAATGGTCATCTTTACTTAATTTACTTAAGTGAAAAATAATGAACACGTTCTGACAAATGGGCAAAAGACCGAGTATAAGCGAAGAAAGGAGAAAGATATAGAATGACAGAGAGAGAGAGAGAGAGAAACCAGGCGGGTGGTAATGAAAATGAAGACAAAAAGCTAAATAGAATGAAAAAACATACAAAAACTTCTTAAACTTAATTAAAGTCGGTAGAAATTTCGGATTCTGTTCGCACAGTGTGTGTGTGTGTGTGTGTGTGTGTGCAGTTTCACAGTGCTCAAGACACAAAAGTAAGATGATTCGATGACATCGTTCATCATTTATATTGGGGGATGGTGTATTTTGTTGCTTGCATTGTAGTAGCTAAGTGAGCTGGCAACGAATGAGTGAGTCGAATGATTCGAACGGAAATATCCTCTCTATCGTGTAAAACATACACTTTCTGCAATTAGAAAATTGAATTTTCGATTTCTTTTCATCTTCATTTTGTGTTGTGCTGCCTTGTGCGCGCATTGGATGTTGCTCACTAATGTTCCCAATGTTTTTTTTTCAACGACAATCTCTGTATGCTCGCTAATTCAGTTCCAAATCCACTACAGAGGTAGCAACACTCGCGTCCCTTCCCTTCTATCTCACAGTCAGTGTCTTCGTCTCATCTGTCAGTGAACATAAGTGGTCGTTTGTTTTTTGTGTTTCGTCTTTGTTCATGTGAAATCGGAATCCGAGTCCGAATGGAAGACGGAACTTTCTCGTTATCGGTTTGAATGTGTGCACTCCGTCTCTCCTCACTTTTCCTATTGATCGCTCTGTCTTTTGTTTAAACATTAAGAATTGAATAAAAGCACCAACGGATGATGATGCATTTTGTCGGATACAAAGCAGAATAACCACCGCTTCACCGAAAACTATAAACTTCTTTTGTTTGTGATCATGTGTCGTTGCATTTATCGAAATAGAGAACGAGAAAGGCAAAGAGAAAGAGCAACTGCGAAAAATCCATTGATCTTTTTTCAATGTGCCAATACTTGAACAAAAAGAGAGATGCTCATTCTATTATTTTGTTGCTGGCTCTTCTGCTTCTTCTTCTTCTTTCGCTTTTTTGTGTCAAATGATTTCGATCAGCAATTCACATTTACACGCTCGAAATGACTAAAACATTTTTGCTAAATGACAACATAAAAGAATTGCACTCTCGAATCCGTTTTTATTAGTTTCCATTCCGATTTTATCAAGTGAACGAAGAGTTGTCGTCGTCGTCATCGTCGTCGTCATCGTTATTGTCGTTGTCATCATTAATTCAATCCGAGCCAATCAATTATTCAACAAGATTTCGCCTGTATGTTTCGCATATCAACGTAAATTTAATATGGAGCAAATGTTCGATCCATCCACTTCGAATTTCACTTCGTTTATTTCGGGAAATTCGATAAGTCAATTATGAATATTCATAAGGTGGTGTTGGAATGAGCAACACGATTAGGGTGCTAGATAATAAGCCACTTAAAGGATTTTTCGATTAGAGAAAAAGAAAAACGTTGATCCAAACTAAAATATGCAATGAATATTATTTTAAGAATTACACATAATTTTGATTTATTGAGTGAAAATGTTGAGTCTTTTCGTTTCATTTGGTCGGTGTTTTAGAGATTTTTTTTCTTATTCGTTTCCAAAGAATGTAAAATTTAGTATTTTGTGAGAAATAAAAAATCATAATCTAATCTTGAAAGAGAAAAAAAAAATGTTTGTCTTGAAGACAGTTAATTGCTTAAAAATGAATAGTTGCCCGGACTGGCGCCGTTGATTTGCGAAAACCTATCACGAAAGCGTTGTTTGATTCGATCAAGTGGAGTGGTTGCAGCCAATGAAATATTTGTATCAAAATCACGTTTCACTGGTGTTTCACCTGTAAATAAACAAGAATGTTTTTGATGTTTGCTCTTTGACTTAGAATACAGAAAGACGAAGTGAATGAATGACTTTAATAAAGTTTAAATTACCTAATGGCTCGTATTCACAAAAGTCCATTTCGCAAAAGTATTTCAATTGATTACAACATGCAGAGATTTCATGCGTCATTTTCTTCGACATTGATTGTGTGTCCGATGAGATTCCATTGAGCACCTCTGCATTCGCCTTGTATTGTTCTGATAAACGGGATTGATTTCCATTCAAATCACTTTGGAGAATTGAGATTTCACTATTGACTTCAATAATATCACGTTTCGATGGTAAGCTCTTGGTAATAGTATCAATGTACTTTCGACTGGTATCTATGGCTGAGGTATTGTTTATGGCCACATTTTCCAGCAAATCATTACCCAATACCATTTTCTTCTCAACGATGTCTTTGAGTTCAGTTTGCTTTGTACGAAAATCATTGGATAGCTGTGGATGTGTGAATAATGCCCTTTGTTCATTTACCGCAATTAAATGAGCATCCAACGATTCAACTATTTCCATTTTCATTTGCTGCACATTCTTTTCCGTGGCTTGCAAGTTTGGTTCAATCGTATTCTTGATTCCGGACGCATTTTGTTGGATTTGAACAACGACTGTACGCATTTGCTCGTAAATCAGTTGCATTTTATCATCAATAGTGCTACCAATATCGACACATTCTCCAACCGATGAATGCATTGCACTAATCATCCCAGACACTTTTTCGCTGTGAGATTTCATTCGCTGCTTGATGTCGTCGACCATTTTATTCACTGTGATAAAGTGGTTCAGGTACTGAAAATACGAAACGAAAAAGTTGTATCGATTTTTTTGTGAAATGGAAGAAATTTTTTAAATTTGATTCATACGAAATTTAGAAGAAAAAAAATGAAGGAAAAAATTACCAATTCTCTGAGCTCTTTGTAAGATAGTTCTATTGTATTCGATTGTTCGCCCAATTTTTCGGCAAACTCTTTGTAAAGTGTATGATTCAATTCCGATGACTTGAGATGCGACACCAGATAATCACTGAAATCATTTTTATTATCATTCCATTTGTTCGTTTCCTTCGTAAGATTCACTTCCAACTGATCCAAAATTGCAAGGGATTTCGTTTTTATCACCTTGATCAGCAAATTTGCATTACGCGTGAAGGCTCCTTTGGATATTTTTAAAGAAAAAAAAAACGTATCATAATTTTGACATTTTGACGAAATTAAAAAATGATCCGTATCAATAAGATGAAAAAAAGCCCATTTTCTACACTTACTTTCAAGATCGCCAGTCTTTTGTAGTTTTGCATCAACAATCGTTCGAGTCGCGGTTGAATGTTCTTTCAGACCGTCTAACTTTCGTTTCATATCTGCTTGGAAGTCAAGAACCGTTTGAATCAAACGTGCATCCGCCACCCTATACCGTGCCACCGAGTCATCAAGATTTGATTTATCAACTAAGACTTCTCTGACTACTGCGGTAATTTCGGCGGCTTGTTCGGTGATGGTTTTTTCGGTGGCACTATGTCGATTAATCTTCATTTCACGCTGTTTCGTTACATTCGATAGGATCTGCACGTGTCTTTGTTTCGTCGATGCAATCGTTTGAAGTTTTTCCAGTTCGTCCCTTTTAACGCACAGCGTTGAATTAACGTTGGAAAAAGTGCAATCCAAATCATCGCCTTGTTCATTCACCACCTTCAATTCTTGTTTGTACCGTCGCGTATCGGTTCGTGTGATGTGCATTTCATTCTGATAGTTAACGTACATTTCATCGGTCAAAAAGTGGCCGCATTTGTTACGATTTGCATCGATGTCCATAATTAATTTGCGTATCTCTAGTGTCATCTCGTTGAGAGTGCGTGCATCGTCGAGGCGTTCATTAATTTTTGGATGATTCACAATGCGATTCATACGATTCAAAAATTCCAATGTTTGAATTGTCTCTTCGATGGCGCTACTACCTGATGCAATGCTGGCCACAATTGATGTTTTCGCATTGCCACCAAGTGATTCTTGCATGATTCGCGTCAATTTCGAATCGCGATACGGAATATACGTTTGTTTATTGATAAGTGCTTGAACAACTCGACTTAAACTGGTGAGTGATTGTACGGTTTTGGCACGTGCTTGTTTTTTCTGACTTTCTTGGCTGCCCAACTGCACCAAACACATTTTACGATACTTGAACAGCTCTTCATTTTCTTCAACTTGAAATTTTGGCTTCTCCTTCGATTGAACTGAAATGGTGAATATCGAATGGGATTTTGGGGAGCGTGCATTTTTCTGCGCCAGTCGAAGGATCATTAATGCTTCGGCTGCACTGTGCACTGTTGTTTCTGTTAAACCATTTACGTACACTTGACTTTTGTCATTTTCAAAAATTTTCAACTGATTGATACCGCTACCAGCCGCATTTGGCTGTAACAAATCGACAAGTTCTTCGTCGAGAATTTCCAAATATGAAATTCGTACAGATGAACTGAGCTCCAACTGGGTTAAATGCTCAAACAGACGGTACATAGCACACGAAACAAGAGCGTTCATCGTATCATTATTAACTGTTGGCGGCGGCGGTGGTGGTGGTGGTATTTTTGACATGTTCACTGATGTTGGCGCTAAAATCGGCGTCGACGACACCAAATTTGAATGATTTGCGATAATATTCGGTGTGTCGGCTCGTGTTGCACCATACGAAAAAAGTGTGCAGCTATAACCTTGAATAATGTCACGAACGATTGGCACCAAAATCACATTGTATGCTTCATCTTGATGAATGTATTCGGGAAAAATGGCATTGAATTTGTATTTGCACTCCGTGTATGTATTCGAGCTCAACGCTATCTCCTGGTCAGACACCACATGAACAAACTTTCGAATATCCGAACTGGACATGGGTCTAGAATAAACAAAGAAAAAATAAAACATTATTTTTTTCATAACAAATTTTAATTCATTCATTGCTTGTATTTTTTTTGTTTACCTCAAACGAACAAAAACTTTGATATTTTCCGTGAGCTCAGACATGGTTCACCAAATATTTAAGATATACACGTAAGAAAAATAATCAACACTGATAGCTATTTGGCTCAATTTTCGGTGTTCAACAGTAAAATTTCATTTGAAATTTGCTATGCGTCCATCGAATGGTGAGTGTTTGTGTGAAATGCATTTCAAATGATACAAACTGTCAAATTCAATTGAATATGACGATCACAGCGCCACCACAGCTGACTCACACTTCGTCCGTAATTGAGTTTCGGTTTTGTTGATACGGTACAAGCAACGGATTTTTGAGGAAAAACAAATACTTTCAATGTACGTTGAACGTATTGTTATTATTAGTTTCATGAGAATTATCGCTAATCAGACGAAAATTGCGGCAATTTTCATTTTTCATCTATTTTTCATTTATTCCTTTTGTAAATCGGTTTATTTGAAACGTATAAATTCATATTGAATAGAAAACCTGTCAACAGCCGTAAAACTGGTTGATTATTGGCTTTTGATAGGGATTAGCCCAAATCGCGTTGAAATTTGAAATTTCATCATTTGACAGCTAAATCCTAACAGAATTCCATTTGATTTCGTGAAAAGTGTGTGAACATATCAAAAGGCGTTGTTAGTTTCATTACTTTTTCGTTGCACTTGATTTTGTCTTTTAATCGAGCTATTAGCTGTGCCGTCTATTTTATTTATTTTGTAATTTTGTATTGTGTTAAATTAAAATAGAAAAACTTTAATATAAAAAATGAATGGGAAAAATAAAAGCAACGAAAATATCCAAGTCTACGTTCGATGCAGGTAAACATCGTAGTAATACCGATTCCATAGAGACACTGCAAATAAATTACACTCGATTGGAACGACATTAATACTGATCAAATGTTTCTTCATTTCTATTCGCACATATTTAGACCAATAAATAATCGTGAGCGTAGCATTCATTCGCATGAAACGGTCAAAGTGGTGTCAGACCGTGAAGTTGTTGTAAAGCAGCCACTAGACGGTCGTCACACAAAAAAGTTTACATTCGATCGTGCATTTGGTCCGGATTCAAAGCAGTCGGACGTGTATCAAGTGGTTGTAGCGCCATTGATCAATGAAGTGCTATCGGGATATAATTGTACAGTGTTTGCCTATGGCCAAACTGGCACCGGCAAAACGCATACAATGATTGGTGACGAAACACCACAGAGCAGCTCATCTTATGAAGATGTTAGTATTTTTCTTTAAATAGAACCTCATGAGCGTTTCAGTTGTAATTTTTTATTTCATTTTATTTTTAAACAGTCATCAGCTATGGGTATTATACCAAGAGCACTATCGCACATGTTCGAAGAGCTTCGTACGATGGATGTGGAATTTACAATGCGCATCTCGTATTTGGAACTGTACAATGAGGAATTGTGCGATTTGTTGTCGTCGAATGATGTCGCCCAAATTCGTATCTTCGAAGATCCAAACAAAAAGGGATCGATTATTGTACAAGGTTTGGAAGAGATACCCGTACATAGTACGGCCGATGTGTATAAATTGTTGGCCAAAGGTCAAGAAAAACGCCGAATGGCCACCACCTTGATGAATGCACAATCGTCGCGTTCGCACACGGTCTTTTCGATTTTGGTGCACATCAAAGAGAAGGACGGAATCGAAGGCGAAGAATTGTTGAAAATCGGCAAACTTAATCTAGTCGACTTGGCGGGCAGTGAGAATATTTCAAAGGCCGGCAACGAAAAAGGTATTCGCACACGTGAAACGGTCAATATCAATCAATCGCTACTGACACTGGGTCGTGTTATTACGGCTTTGGTTGAGCGTACACCACATATTCCGTATCGTGAATCGAAATTGACGCGTCTTTTGCAAGAATCGCTCGGTGGTCGCACAAAAACGTCAATCATTGCCACCATTTCACCGGGACACAAGGATTTGGAAGAAACGACAAGCACCTTAGAGTATGCCAATCGAGCCAAAAACATTCAAAACAAACCCGAAGTGAATCAGAAGCTCACAAAGAAAACCGTATTGAAAGAATATACCGAAGAAATTGATCGATTGAAACGTGACTTGATGGCGGCTCGCGACAAAAACGGTGTTTATATGGCCGAAGAGACATACAATCAAATGAACTACCAATTGGAATCACAAAAAGCTGACCTCACCGATCAGATCAATAAGTTGAAGGCTGAAAAGGAGAAAGTGGCCGCCAAACAAAAGGAACTGGAGGAAATTAGTGTCGAACTGGACTCACGCAACCAACAACTCAAAGAAACCGAAGACATATTGACAGAAACGAATGAGGTAAGCATCGATTCAAACTTTTTTTTTATGACATATTTTCAATTGGAACTCTATGGAGAATATTGAAAATGGTCTTTTGCTCCGTAAAAATTGGTTTTATCTATTGATTTTGTGACTTTTTCCATTCAGATTTTGGATAGAGCAAAACGTGGCTATCAAGAGAAGAAGCAAATTCTTGCGAAGCATGTACAAACCGAGAAAACACTCACCACCCAAGCAAAACAATTGATGGATGTTGCGAATGTTGCTACGAAAGACGTTCACAAATTACACGAAACAATTTCCCGGCGCAAAAATTACGATTTCAATAATCGTGAAGCATGCAAAAATCTGGACACCAACCTAAACAGTCATCTCACCACAATGACAAACAACATTGATGAATACAAATCAGCGTTGAACGATCAAACGTTGTTGCTAATCAACAAAATGGGTAAGAATTGGAATTTCTTTATGCTTCCATCAAGTTTTCAATAATTGGAGCATTAAATCGAACCATATTTAGTCGATTTTGAATATGAAACCAACCACTTGAAGTGCATGAAGATAATTTGTTAATGTTTTGACTGTATGGTTTAGGTGCCAACACAAAACAAAGCAAAGAGCTTTGTGTAACGATGCTTGCAAAAATAAGCACGTTAATCGAGGTGGAACAAGAGGGCAAACGTGTAATCGAAGAATGTTTAGCGAGCGGTAAGACCGATGTTGAGGAAATATTCAGAAAGCATCTCGAGGAAAAGGACAAAATTCTGAAAGCCGCAGAACAGCAAAGAGAAGCACTGAAAAATCAATATCTCGAACTTCAGGCCAACATCGATGAATCGTACAAAGAATTCGATGAAAGTGAGCTGAAACTTCAGAATTTGGTAAGAATTCAAGCACATACATTTCAAACCTTCTTTGAAACCTCGATTGAAAGCTAGGATGAAAATCTCATAATTCATGTATCTGTATCTATTTAGCATGAGAATCATTTCGATTTCGTCAGTAGTCATCAAAATGAAGTGCGGCGTAGTTTGGTGAAGAAAAGTGATGCAACCGTTGAGGGAATCCAATCAAGTCGACAGACTCTGGCCACTTCAACGGAGAAGCATGACGAACTAACATCAAAACTGAGCAGTTTGCTTGATGAAATGAAAGTGTTGGTGGATCAATCGAGAGGCAATAATCAAATGGTTCGCGGTGTGGCCAACGATTTGGGAAAGGTTAAAGCGCAAATTCAAAATGATCTAGCCGAAAATTTGGATGTGTTTGATAAGTTCAAAACGCAAATGACCAACAACAACACGGCGATGACGTCAACATTGGGTGCATGCAAAACAGCTGCCAAAAATATCAAATCAAATGTGTCGGAAATGGTGCGAGTAAGCAGTGAAAATGAAGACGATCTGGTGGCGACCATAGCAGAAATGGATAAAAACTTTGTCGAACAGAAGAATGTGCTGACGGACAAAGTGTACGATATGTTCAATCAGATCGAAAACACATGCGAAATGACCCGAATCGATATTGATGGCGGTTTGAATGGTGTAATCAAGGATGTGACCGATGAACAAGATCGTCTCGTTGACTATCAATTTGAATTCGATGACACAATGACCACATTGGAAGCGACACAAAATGAATTCCACGACACACTGAACTCGGACATTGAATTTTGCCAGCAACGATTGCAAAAATTCCAAAATGACGAGCTACAGATTTACACACCAACCGGCCAAACGCCATCGAAACGTGAATACAGCTATCCCAGAAAACTGGCAACTACATCGCCACATGGTAAAATAATCGCCGACTTTTGGAGCATACACAATCCAGCTGATTTGAATTGTTCGGCTATCATATCGGAGGTGAGTTTGGATGGGTATTTCATCAAGCATACATAACAATAAAGAATATTCAAACGAATGTTGAAACAACTAAAGAAAGAAAAAAATTGAAACTCATTTTCTTCTCATTTTTTATTCCACAAAGGAAACAATCAGAGCTGAATCACCAACAGTGATGGAATCAACCGAAAATGACAGTATTATGGAAAATACATTGCAACCATCCGTGTTGGAACAGTCAGTGGATCGAACGTTATGCGATAGTCAACAATTCAATGCCAATTCAATGTCAACACCGTTCACAAGTAGCCTGCGCAAACAGATTCCCACACAAAATCTCTCAAACATTGAAGTGTCCAGCATTTGTGTAAGTAAAATCGGCCCAGAAAAACCCAGTCTATTAATTTGATTCAATCTAATTTATTTATTTTTCTCAAATCGATACAATTTTCTAGGAGGAGAATAAAGAGAATTAGAATCATCTGTTGGATATAAATCTATAAATCCATCTGCATTTGCATTGTTTGCACAAAAATTGTGTTTGCCCGCACCAAAAGTTGTACTTTACATTTTATTTGAATCCTCTGAGTTAGCATTCAATGTTCATTTAAACTGTAAAACTTAAATCTAATAATGTTTTTTTTTATACAATTATAACAATTATTCACAAACTGAAATGAAAACTATTAAGTAATCTGTCTTACATTGAGTTTTTGTTGTTTAAAAAACTAACATTTGCTTTTATAATAATCAATTCTATTCCTACTGAATAAATATACTTAAAATACGAACAGCACTCGTTTTATTTTTGTCTAATTGCCAAATAGGAGTCCACTGCTAAACGATCGACGAATGGTGGACAGTTCCCGGAGGCTGGAATTGTTTGATTGTGACATCAATAGCAATTCATTTTCGGACGAGGTTTTACGTAAGATCATTTTTAGCCGATGTGATGGCATTGTTTCGTATTTTACGCATTTATTTTTCAACCAACTGAATGAATTCACATGGAATATGCCGTCATCTTTGTGATGATGATGATGTGCACCAATCCAATCGCATTCACAATCGCTATCAATGTGCGGTTGCACATGATGCGCGAATTGCTGTTCAAAGAAATTGTAGCTCTTCAAACTGTCGTTCTGCAGTGAATGGCGACGCGGTGATGTTAGTGCATTGGCCAAGATTGGTTGGTCTTGTTGATCGGTTAGCACCAATGGCGATTCTTGTATATCAATCAATCTGTGTGGTTCAGTGTTTATTATCAAAGCTGCAAAAAGGAAACACATAGTGAGTTCAGCTAGGCCAAGCTCTCAGTCGGACACTCGGTTTCATTACCCAGTCGACTCGTATTCGACTCTCTATCATCGTCCAATGCTGGATCTAATGCAAACGATTGCTCAGATGATGACAACTTTCGCCTAGAAAATGAACGAAATGCGATATGTTTTGATTTAAAGTATAAACGATTTGCATCATTATGATTATATGAGGAATTTTGTTGAGTTTATATAAGAAAATGTCCCAACAATTTTAAATCACTGGCAAGTATAGGATTGGTGTAATTCATAGTTTGATATTTTGATATTTACATCATTTTTGTGTGTCGAGGTGTATATTCGGGTGGCGGACTGTCTGGTATTAACAAAATTTGACTACTTCGTCGCGAATGCACATTCACCGTTTCCGAGTGTCGACCTGCAAATTCCATTTAAATTGGGAAATTAAATAATTGAAATTGAGATGGTACTTCATTTGATTTTCGTACGTTGTGTTCGCGAAGAGATTTCACATTCAATAATGCTAGCGGCCAATGCTTCTCGATCAGTGAGGTACAGCTCGGGTATGAGCATTTCAGACGGTGTTGGTGTACATGTGGGCATATTCAGCAAGGAATTTTGTTCGCATTGTCGTGAGTGGCATCTGAAAAATGGATCGTATTCATTAAAAAAAAGATTTAAACATTCGATTTGAATTCGAGCACAAACCTTGAACGCGAGCGCGAGCGTGATCGTCGCCGTTTTTGATGTGTTTCCAATATGGTAGTGCTGGATCGTCGAAGAGTCATATCCAATTTTAAGCTACTTGCTTCTTCGTAATCTGGTGGTTCTTCGTATGCTGGTGGCTCCTCTTGAGCTGCTTCATTCTCTTCATTCTGATTATTTGCGCTATTATCTAAGGATTTTGATCGTATGTTATTAAATAGTCAGTACGTCAATGTTTTAATATATTTGAAAAAAAAAATAAAAAAAATAAAAATAAACAAATGCGTCACAGATATTAATCTTTGTCCTAAAATCGACCTATTTATCGGCTGTCATCCAACCGAATTCATGTCGTAAATAGCATTAAAACAAAATGAAATTAAAACATCAATTAATAACGTTCTCGAAAATTCCACTCAATTTAAATGTATAAACAAACCAATTGTCATTTACTGAACTAAACGGGAAACGAAAATTGATTTTCATTTCCGGTAACAAAACAAAACAAAACCACTTCATTTCGTTTCATTCTTACCCAAAAGTTCGCTAATCGTTCTCAATTGGCTTTGTAGTTCTCTTTGTTCGCGAACATGATGATTCATTCGGTACAGAATCATAATTAACAACAATATCAGCATGACCAAACTCATGGCGCTAGCTAAAAATACCAACGTTGCCGTCTTTAAATCAGGATAATGATCGATTTTCGGGAAAAAGTAGTTTGGCGTATGCGTGAGCCAGTACTGATTCGTTTCTGCTTCATCGGCTGCTTTGGCAGAAAATGGATGAAGAAACAGTTAAAATGGCGCGAAAATATAAATTTTTGAACATATTCCTAACCTTCACTGCTTCCGCACCGCTCATTTTCATCACTTCCATCGCCACAATGATCGAATCCATCACAAGAAAGAAAGAACGGAATACATCGATGATTTTCACACAGAAATTCCGGCCCTGGGAAACAATCTGTAGAATATAATGTTGAATGATTGCAGCCAAACAATTAAACTCTATTGGATTGAAATGTAAAATAAAACCAAATTAATCCATACCCATGTAACTAAAAGCCGTATAAACGATGGCGAAACGTGATTCAGGTGAAAAAACGCCCTTGAACGAAATATAAAATCCGGACGACAATGTTGTAACGAAACTTTGGAATTTCTCATGTTTCCCTTCAATCGGCCAATCATATTGTTTTAACATGGTTGAATTTGATGTTGAACCATCTCGAATTACAACACTTGATGCACTCTCTGAGAAAACAACAGTTGAAATTAAAGCTCCATGCCCAAAATCGCGTTAATTATAATATCATTGTAAAGAAAACAAAGTTGCTGATTACCCATATTCTCAAATGTGTCAATGCGAACCAAAAGATGCGTTTTCAAATGAAGGTAGTTATTCGACGGTTTGATAAGCCAAATGCAATCGTAGGCCATGGCACTCGAGTTGGTCATATTCATCATTGTGATTGCACCACCGAACGTTTCAACCAGACCACCGCAATGTGTGTTAACCGTTTCTTCTGTGACATTTGGCGTGAGATAGCGTATGGCTGCACGATAACCGGCACCAGTTCCTCCATTGCCATTGAAATGAATTCGCATCAAGCGTGTCAAGAGACGAATAATCGGCGGTCGAAATATTTCACCTGTGTATCTTTCAATCAATTCATCTTGTTCATCGTAAAGCTACAAGAAAAATATCGGGATTTTCTAACAAAGGATTTCAATGCGAACATTTTCATTTGTTCAATTCAATTCTCTTGTAAGAATCCTTCAAACTAACAATTCCTCTCTTCTTATGAAACATTTTTCTAGAAAAAGTTCCAATGAAACCTCAAATCTAAACCCACCTCCATCACTGAATTCAACGAAATTTGAAAGTCAGAAAATTCGATTTCGATAATACAATCGATGGTATAGTTTGAATTGCATACGATCACATGATCAATGGTTAAATCTCGTGGATAATAATTTGGGAAAAATGGAGATTCAAGCACATCATCTTTAGACGTTTGATTTGCTGACACATTACCCTCATACGTTAGCAGATTTTCTGGAATCGAAAAGAATAAAATTATTGGAATCGAATTAAAATAATAAAGACAAATAAAAGAAACAATAAATCAAATCGAACGAGTTTAATGTGTACATACTTTCACTGACATAGGTTAAGTTAAATGGATTATCATGGCTTTTTTGAAACACATAGTCAATGACCAATATACGGCCTCTGGTTCGAAATTCATACGGTGACCTTCCGCACCACATTTTCTCCGTCAAATTTTCCTCGTACGGTGGCTCAGTGAAGTTAATATAATCGGCGCATTTACATTGTGTGTCGCCTTCATCACAGGTTTTTGCAAATTGTGTATTGCTAACGACAGCGAAAAATGGAATCAAATAAATAATGGAAAATCATGCAAGGCTCAGTCAATTATTGAGTTCTTGAATTTCAGAGGAAAAAAAAATCAAAATTTTTGGATGAAAACTAAAATGGCATTGAATTAGAGTATTTACGTAATGTTTACGGCAAAAATACATCCAGCACATGTTATCAACTCCAATTGGCAATGATAGTGTATAATTGCTGTTCCATCGGGAAAACGTTCAACTCTCGCAACTTTCTGAAATGGATTGAACGAAAACGGATTAAATGCATTTTTGTACATTCCGGAAAGGGTAAATTTCGATTGCAATTTTTTTTAGCACATAAATTCTATTAACCCTATCAAAGCGATGGTTCCATATGGAACCGTTTTTAAATATGTTCTGCAAGAACACGTAAATTTGTTAATTTTTATTTCGTTTCTCGTCTAATGACTTTTTTATGACAGAGAAAAGTTGAACCTATCAAAAAATATATAATTTATATCATTTGGTTCGGTACAATATGAAATAGGGCATTTTGCATTTCGGAAAAAAAAATTTTAGGGGGTCAACACACGAGAAAGAATCGGAAAATTTTCAAACAACTCGATTATTATTTTATTTCGGAATGAAGTTTTGAAGCTAAGCATGTACAGATACATATCTTTTGATCTAAAAATTAACATTGAAAACAAAAAACGTGGAAAAACAATCTTTCCATGGTTTTTCTTATGTTTGTATTGGAAAAATACGTCGTGAAAAAATCAAGATTTTCCACGGAAAATCTTATGAATTTTCAATCGGTCGCACCATAATTTAAAAGTATGCATGCTCACCTTTATCAAAGACTTAAAATTGAATCGATTTTTTAAAATTTTATTTGCATTTAAGCCAAATTTTTAGAACTTTGCAGGGAAAAAATGAAAAAAGGTATCACAGCTTTGAATTGGTTAAGCGATGACAAATCCACGACACGAGTAACTTATTAGGTCACCAAGGTTGTACAATGTACACACACAGAGAAAATATTCACACACACATACAACGTTGACATTCATATTGAATTTATTCAATTATTGAATTAGAAATGATTGCAATTGATCGTCACAATGGTACAACCGATCAAAATATGGTCAATGCTCTTGATTTAATCGAGATTTTTTTTTGTATTTTGCTGTCATTCTACAGTTTATTTGGATCAGAATCGGTTACAAACAGATTGTACTTATGTGTTTCATTGACGAAATTCGCAAGTGAATCGACGTACAATAATCTTGTTAAACGATTGACCGAGAGTCAGCTGGGTGTGTGTGTGTGTGTGTGTGTGAGGACAAATACATTGACACACGGCGGTTATTTGCAACATAAAAATAAATCCACATTCGTTGAACAAAAATTTCCGTTAAAGGAACAATTCAAATGTTTGAACACATCAAGTGTTGAGCTCGCTTTCACAATGGGGAAACAAAATCACTTGAAAACAAAACGCAACCGTTTTCTCACATTTTTCAAAGTCGAAGCTGTAACATTAGCCGCCTGAATTGCTCCACTTCCATTTTCATCTAAATACATTCGTCGTCCACTGTACGCACTGCATATTTCATTCGAATCACTTGAAACAGATCCAACAATTGAAATTACAAAAATCACAATGACTGTTCGCTGATTTACACCCAAAATCATTTCAGAAAACACCAAATATTCGTCAACAAGAACTTGTCAATTTTTCCACACAAATTCGGAAAATTTGATGGTCTTTTGTTTTTCTAAATGCCGTTTGCTAGCTCAAAGAGAGCACTAGTAGTAATATAGTATCGCAACAACGATCGAACTGGCAATGGTTATAATTTCTTTCGTGGTCAAATATAAACTAATCATACTATTGCGACGTTGATGGACGGCAATTGTTTGTCACTACGAGAAAAAAAAATACACAAGCCGATGTTGTTTAAGACAACAGCACAAGCTTTTTGCTTTGAAAAAAAAAAATCGAAGAAGCCATACAATGGATCAATTATATATTGTGGTGACTAAGCCAAGTGACGATGAAATAGAACGACATTTCACTGTGTTGTGTTTTACGCTTTTCCATTTGCATTTTCACAGTTTTTGAAGACGTCGGCTGCATAACACAGCCGTGTTTAATTTGCGATGCAAAAGAAAAATACTCAAATTGAAAATGAGAAATTGTAGCGCAGTTGGGCATTATAGGCTGTCATTGTTGTCGGACGAGAGATGACGCAAATGAGTGTGAAAGTTTAACTGGCGTCATATTCCTCAGACAAAAACAAAGTTTCTTGCAAACCTTCCCCTTGAAAAGAGTTCTCATTGACGTAATATCATTATAAAAGCTTGATTTGAACTAAAAATCAAAAGTTTTTACAATAATATTTAAAATTTACAGCATTTGATGCAACACAATGGTCGATGGAATGAATACAGCCAAAATGGAATGATGTAAAATAATCACCGTGTATTCTGTCGCAAACATTATGAGAGATGGAAAACCAAGTGAAAAGAAGAAGAGAAAAAAAACAACATGTTATTGATCTAGTGCACACTCCAAATGAATGTAGAAAAGACGCTTAACGGAGCCGCCCTCTAAGCCAGCTCAACAAGCTAATTATTTATATAATCATCAGTAGCACTGCACATGGTAGCACTGGACGTGCACGTTCTTACAAAAGTTTGCTCCAAAAACGACAGATACGAAATAATACAGCTAATTTTTCTTTATTTCGATTTTTTTTTTTGGTATTCTTTATTTGTTTTCATAGTCGTTTGTCACTCACATAATGTTTAAACTAACACCGAATTTGTGCAATAATATTACTTAACGGTAGAGTGTTCAGGGTGAAAGTCAAGGCACAAACATTAAAATTATATGAACTGATAGCATCTGTGAACAAAACAAAAATCTGCTTGCCGGCCGTTACCATCTGCCGCCCGTTGTGATCGATCTCACCAAATTGCTGACCGTTCGAAGTACTCCAATCGGTATCTGGGCAAGTGAAATTTAACAATCACATTTGATTATTTTTTTTTTTATAACTAAACTTTGATTTCAAGTGATAAAAATGAACTTACAGCGAAAATCAGTTCAAAAATGGAGCCAATCGGATTATTGGCAATTTGTTGTTGATTTCGTATGGTTGTCGATTGAATCCATTCAACATCGTTTGGAATACTTGGTAATGAAATTCGTGACGAATTTCCTCGACCACTTATAACGTTAGCTATTTGTCTATTATATCGTGCCGTTGTTGATGTAAGCTCCTCTCTTTCGGAATTATGTGTGTTCGTGAAAGGTTTGCAATCAATCGATGTCTTTATCAAAATGATAAAAACCAAAAAAAATTTCAACGAACTTTTCATGCTGACTATTTGTATCTGCATTTTGAATTTATCTAAAATTTTCAAACTTTTTTATTTTCACTCGAAAAACTTGTGTTGATTTCTCCGAATTTAGTTTATTCCAAGTCAACTGCTGTTCAAAAACTGATTGAATCGCATCGAATCATCCGAAATATATCAGTGTGGCGATGGTGTGCCATCGAGTTGTGAAAAAAATAGTACATTTTCGGATAAACACTGATTATTGACAACAATACTATTTCCATTGAAACAATACTGATCTGATTAGCATCAGTAATTATATTACGGGTTCGAAATTATGATTGGCAATGAATGGAACGAAAGAAAGAATTAAAAAAAAACTAAAAGTGTACAGCCATGGCCATTGTCAATAAAAAGTCGGACTTAATTGCGTAAATAAAGCTGAAAATCATGCGGTGCTATTTTTGTGAGCAATTAAAAAAGAATTGTGGTACTTTTGCCATGGAGTAAAACGTCATCGTTTCGAAATTGGTAGAAATTAATGTCAATGAAACCCAAATTTAGCGATCGATTTTGTCAACAAAATTAATTTTAGATTTTCTCGCATTTTTGTCTCTCTGTCTCCAGTTGGGGTCATTTTTGACCAAATGTGAACATTCTAGACTCATCGCTGTGTATTGTTGATGCTTGGCCGATTTGTACGTATTTGTTGGATCAATGTGCAAATACAAACACCGTACCGACAGCTGTTTACTTTTAAAGCCTGCTCTTTGTAGTTGAAATGATTTCGACTCAGAAGCACAGCACCGCATTGCGGTGAATAGCTGAAACTAATATAGGGTCCATTAGCAAAGCAACTACAACAACTGTCTCGAACTGTCACTTGCACCGAAACTTCATTCGTCACACGATCCGAACACAACACACGAAAAAAAAAGTCAAAATCAAAAATGTCCGCATGTTAAATAAAATAAATAATACCATAATAAAAAGTTCTTCATTTCATTTCCAATGTTTTCGTTTTTTTTTTTAATTAGTGGGGGAAAATAACAAACCCAAAATATTGTGTATAAAAAAGAAAAGAATCGTTTGTTTTAAGTGTGTAGTGACGGAAACAACAAGCAAATACAAAGAAATCCCTTTTTGCCATATATATATTTATTTAGTGGTAAGATTCACATTAAATTATGTATGTTGTTTGCATTTTCGCTTACGTCAATTTACAGAGAGAAAAAAAAACACGGTTATTCTTCTATTGAACCATTTCCAAGTTCTAGCAATAGAATATTTTTCTTTTGGTTGTTTAATTGAGTATGTGCCAAATGGTCGAATCCTACATTTGGTATCGACATTCGATTGATTCAATAAGTTTTGAAAATAAAGATGAGTAACAAATATCGAGTAACTGCATTGTTATGGTTGCTTAGCATAAGACGTTGTCAATTCTCATTTCAAAATAGCACAATTTTGCGGAATTCCGTTTTCTAATTACATTAAAATGTTTAAACACCTTTTTTTTCCTGTGCAAGTGGCTCCACAATTCGGTTCTTTTTCGTTGAAACGCCCAGAAAATACACACCAGACAAAAATCAATCCTTTTGAGCTATTAGAGAAAGTAACAAAGGTAAAAAAAAGGACGTGTGAAAGAAAAAAAAAGTTGAACTCCAACAGATGTCCTATCAAAAGTTTATAATCAAATAGAGAGGCGACGAAAATAACATCAAAAAGAAACATAACGCGTTCGTTGAAAATTGGTCGTGTGTGCATCGAAAAATTTTTTTTTCTTCTGTTCGTTCGTCCCTCGATAAATGTGTCAGTGAGCGCCTGAGCCTAGCGGTATTTTAGCACACCGAGAGTATGTATGTGCGTACGCGCGCATTCCTATATGTGTTTGTATGTCCTCACTCTCACTTATTTCATATTATGCCTATGACGTACGTACAAATGCTGTTTTTCAAGAAAAGGCCATTGATACGTGTGCATCGCATACTTTGTTGCTGTTTTCTATAGACCATGCATACTATAAATGATGTGCTTTCTGCATGCGTCTGTCTCCGTATATCGATTTGAACTCAAAAGGAACCGAAACAGTGAAGAAATTGTACATTTAATGCGATCATGTTGGTTTCACTATAACCGTCATATGCAACAATTTCTTCCTGCATCGGAATTATCCTGTTCGAGTGCACGCGTGTGTATATGTGTGTGAGTGTGACGTGCATGTTGCATTCATCACCAATATTGCAGTTTTGCGTATTTTTCCTCGTTGCAAACGTTTGGGTCAATGATCGCGTCTGCTTCTTTGCATTGCATTGCATTGCATTGTTTTTTTACTTCTCCATCGTCGATTTCTGTTTGCTGTTGTTGTTTCCATTCCCGTCCCGCAGAATCCTTTTTCTCTCGCTTCCTTTTGTTATTCATTGCATTTCCCGTCATACGTCATCAAATGCCGAACAATACAACTGTTTATATGCAGAAAAAAAAATTGATTTTCTACTTAAGTCGTTTGCAACAATTTATGCTTGAATTTACGCATAAGTTGCTTAATTTATGCACACGGCCGCATCAACACAATAGCAACAGCAGCTAAAGTAAAGGATTCGTGCAAATAGTTTTCGTTTTCCTTCTTTTCTTTTTATTTGATGTGTATTCGGTTGTGGTCGGTTCAACCAGTTGCATCTTTGTGAATCAAAATCATTTTGCATCGTCACATATTCTGCCCGTCACCGAAGTAACGTAGGTTTGGTGTTATTGTCCTTTTGCGAATGCAAAATGCATTCACGTACAATCATAGCTTGCATACGTTACGTCAAATGTGTGATGCAGTTTTCTGTATGCGTGTGTTTTTTTTTCTTCTTGCTTCATTTTCGTTCGGTTTGCATTTGTTTTGGACCTACGATCATTGTTTACATCCGTACATTGACATATCTAGAGCGAGCAAAGGAAAAATATATATTGGATTGGATTGTTCACACTGTGCCTGTGTGATTTACCTGCACACTGAATTCAGTTTAAATCAGAAACACGTTTTCATCGTGGCAACATTGGTCAATGAATTAATGCTCCTACTCTTTTGGTCTCCAGAGGCTTTACATTATTCAACCTCATTGAAAAGAATCGGAATTTTTTATACGCATGCAAAGCGAAAAGAAAAACACTTCAACATTATAAGTCTTTCAAATCATTCAATTTAAATTAATTCGTAGTTTTTTCTACGCAGTTTTAGAATTGTAGCTTGGATAAAAGAAAATACTAAACATGATGCGACCTCCACACATTCAACACATGAATCAAATGCCACCACAATCAGCGACCCATCATATGTCGAATATGTCACATCATCAACCTCACATGAATATGTCGACGGTACAGCAACCACACAATCATATGATGCACAGTCATCAAAACTACCATCAAAATAGGTAAGTTACATTCATTTTCAATGACAAATATATTACATGACTGTCGACGGATTGCATTCGATCGATGTTTAGGAGAAATTCGCTTTAAATAAATTGCGGTGGAATTCATCTCTTGGCGCATATTTATGCCAGTATGAATGAAGGCACGAATTCGGACAAAAATTTACAGTCGTTTTCATTGGATTTAAGAACCAAATATTGAATTTTAATCAAATTCGGATGAAATTACCTACAAGTTAAGGTCAATACAGTTCATTCTGTAAACAGGGTTAACAAATCAAAATCATGAAGTAAATTAGAGACTTTTCATTTATAAATCCATTTTTTTTCGATTGGTGCAATCCATTTTCAACCGAAGGTATAATTTTCGTATAGAAATCAAACGTTCGCTAAGAAATGGGTTAATTATGTCAACAAGTATTAATCACCCTTGAAACGAATACGTACTCAGTGTATAATCCTGAACAAAATAGCTTTACTTTAACCAGTAGAGTGTACTCCGATCGATTAAATGCCATGATAAAGAGGCTTTAATTGAGATGGCACCTTCTTTTTGGGCTTTAATGCGTGTACACGTTCACAGCGAAAAAAAAGAAGAGCGAATGACACTAGACATTTGTGTTTTGTTTGCTTTATTTTGGATGTGTTTTTTTTTCTCCGTTCGCGATTTTTCGTTTCATTCCACATTCACATATGTTGATATTATTTTCTCATCGTTTTGCCGAAGAGCAACGGCACTGTCTATCCGTTCTTTTGCTTCGATTGAACGGGTTTCGTTAGTCAAAACTAAGTCTTTCTAATGCACGATGACCGCGCGATGTTCGAAAACGCAAAGCAAGATTGTCCATTGGTTTTGGACGAAACAACAACAGCAGCAGCAGCGGCAACAGCAAAGATTGAGAGAAAGAGCCATGGCAACGACAACAAAAACACACAACAATGACCAAAATGACAATAATGGAATATGCCATCCATTTAAAGTGAAAAAATCCTCTTTAAATAGACAAAATTACATGTGATATCGTTGCTGAACAATGGTTGATCATTTTACATTGACAAAACACATACAGACATCAATTTAGATTCACTGAGTGCATGCCATCTCTCGCGCACAGTTGAATGAAAAAAAAACCAAACGCACCAGAAAGAAAAGCTACAAAAATGAGCAAGAGAGAGGGAGAGAGAGAGAGAGAGAGAGAGAGAGAGAGAAAGAGAGGCCACGAATTCCGTGAAAGCGGAATGGAACGATTCGCGGGCAAAAGTGTAAGGCGAACAGATAATGAAAACTTTTTTTTGGTGCATAATAAAAAGGCAAAAATAATAATAATAGTAATAATAATGGAAAAAAAATTATCCGCAACAAAAAAAATATGAAAAATTACCTTGATTTTGCTAACGTAGAAGAAGAAGAAGCAGCACCAGCAGCAGCATCTCTTGCTCTCATCTGCGATTACTATTTCTCTACCACTTATTATATAGTGATCAAGAAATTCACCCTACTCGGTGCCTCTCTATTGTAAAATAGTGAGATATTAAGCATTCAGCGGCGCATTGTGCGAAGCGAACGCATTGAAAGCTATTTGTTTTTCCGTTTTTTTTTCTTCAACAGTTCACTTTTAGCCATAGACATCTTATCAACACGTTTAATTGAATGGCCCAGAGAACAATGATCTGATGTCGTAAGGCAAAACCAAGGCGTCGTGTGTATGTGTGTCCATTTCCATTGGTTCAGCTGAAATATGCACAGCTCAACTGTGTATGCCTGTCGATTTGACAGTGGCTATTTGATCATATGATTACAACCAAATTGGAAACATTTCATTTACGTTTTAATTGTCCGTTTGAACTGAGGGCATTGTCAAAAATTTCGAGTTAATTTCTTCTGAAGATGACATTGCATACAGAATGCGCGAATCAGAAAAAAATAATAATACTTGGAAACAAAGAATGGAACACACACACACACACACACACACACACACAGAGAGAGAGAGAGAGAATGAACGCGAGAAGATGAGTCTCATTGCGGCGGAAAGACATGCTACATTACACACGAGTATCAATAAAACGGCAACAACATTTACAAAACTTTATTGACGCGAACAGAAGGACCACGGTTTAAGCGCAAAAGTCTAAATGCAGAAGACAATGCGCGCGCACAAGGGTTAGGCCTCGAATTGAATGAACCAATTGTCTATTCGCGCATGTACCAACCAGGTTGTGAGCGCGACAAGATCAAACGCTCTCGCGCTCACGCTCGCATGCTCATAACGATAGAGAAAGAGCAAATAGATGCAGAGAATGGGTCGGAGTGAGGAGTTCGAGCTAGAATGGAACGAAAGATGATTCCGAGACTATATATTGGGATTGTGATTGTGGTTGTGATTATGGCCTCATATCTTCTTCCACTGTCTGTGCATGGACGTGCATGGACGTGTCCGCTCTCGCTCACTCGTTCTCTCGCGGTGCACGGCTGTGTGTCCATTTGCGTTTGTGTGTTTAGTGTGTGTTCACCGGGTACATCGTGATATTCCCGAGGTTCGAATCGACGAGGCATTTTTTCATCGCTTCATATTATTTCGTTATGTGTGAAGAAGGGTTGTCTCTTCTTCTTGTCTATTTATGATATTCTTTCCATTGTGCCGGACCATTGTTTTGTTCGCTCTTTTATTGTTGTTATGCCGACGCTGAATGAATGCAACAAGAGCTGGCTTCCTTTTATTTTTATTGCGATTGACCATAATATTTTCATCGTTCAATTTATTTGGTTTAGTTCAAAGGAAATAAAATGAACATCATAAATAACCAACAGCGTTGCATATAAATAACCATATATTTGCAAGAAGAATTGCACGCACACCGTGGAGTAGTTGAAATAAAAGATGATGAAAAGAAAGAAATGAAGAGAAGAGAAGAAAAAAACCAACTCAGAGTTGAATAGAATAAAATGCAGAATGAATAAAGTAAACGTCAAGGCGTAGAGAACAACGGCAGCAGCAAAACAGCAGAGAAGAAGCGTCCGAGAAAAAAAACATACACAGAGAGAAAGAATGCGTAGAAAAAAGCACACACACTTAGCATCTCGTCGTCACTTTTCTCGAATGTGCAACAAAACAATTCTATTGTCCATTGGCTGCTGTGTGCGCGCATAGTGCGAAGTGTACGAAGATGTGCGTGTGCATATAAGTAATGATTAACTGCCGAATCGCACACACAAAAAAAAAATAATAATATCAAAAAAGAATCTTTCTTTTTGCTTCTCTTGCCACACATACCTAGCTATCTATGTCAATTTATAGATGGCTATGATCGACGGTGAATTTTTCAGTAATTATTTCGGCATAGAGAGAGAGAGAGAGAGAGAGAGAGAGAGAGCAAGAGAAATCTTTCTTCGTTCGTTTTTGACGCCGCGCATTTCCCTATTCACTTTTTTCACTACACACACGGTCAGCTTTTGTTCCAGGTGTCGAACGACAATGAGCCGACCTAACAGATTACCACCGGAAAACTGCGATTTAGTTTTATGAGAATGAGAATCGAATTTCTTTCGCGGCATTTGTATAGCCACCAAGCGAATAGTGGAGGAAAGTGAAAGAAACAACTCGAAGCATTTCCGAAGACTGGTCAAACGCATATTAATTGATGTTGTAATAACGAACGAATCATTTTCGAAACTGGCCAAATTGAGTGAGAGACGATTGTGTTTCGATTTCATGTCCAATGCCCAAAATTTTATTGGGAAATTCATGAAGTTGAACGAAAAACGATGTTTTTATTTGAAAATTCAAATGGCCAAGGGTTCATAAAGGATTCGATTAATTAGCGACATCAGTTTAATCGGTCAATTGAATGCATCCAAGATAAAGAAGACAGAGAGAGGGTTTCAAGTGAAGTGCGAATTAACTGTGATCGAACTTGAAATGAGCCATCTCTGTCTATTGTGAGATAGAGATAGAAAAAGAGTTGTGAATTCATGAGCGCAACATCCTACTAAGGATTATGTTCACTATACACAGCGTCCATTTGGTCCATTGTTCACACAGGCAAAGAGACAAAAAGAGACAACAAAACAAGAAAAACAAAGTTTCAAACAAGCACACACATTTAAAGCGAAAACATCTTTGTGCATCTCGTGTGTGAAACCAATCCATGCACATACACAGACCACCTATCGGAATCAACCCAATCCTCGAAACACACACACACACACACACACACAATCCGTATATTTTCCTCACTTCTTCTTCATCTCCGCCTAGCCCGTGTGTGTGCGCTTTTTTTTAATTTCAATTGCGCTACCGTTTTCATTTCATCCTTTCATCTCGCGAGTAAACTCAAATCTCATTTCATTTTTCGAGTGTGATGTGTGCATTACTCTTGCCGCACAAAATATTCCTCTAAAACAAGCAATTTTCGCACAATTTTTGGGAGAAATTTATTTTTTATTTTCCGGTGTTAATTTGTTCAAAACGTGGAAATTACGGTGTCATTTGCATCATCTTTTTCGTCTATTGAGTCGTTTGTTCGAAGAGAAAAAAAAAACGTTTCGACTCTGTCTCGTCGCCGGTGTATGATCTTTTCGTACAACATTTGCCATTCGATTTACGGATACGTCAATGATCGCTCGCAAAAAACGACCACATCCCAAAACAATCCCAAGTTCATCTCGTGGATTAGTTTCGGATCGCAAGTAAACAACTCATCATCCGCCTGATATTCAACCAATTCACTGAGATTTGCGGAATAGAATAGACAATTTGTGGTGTGTTCGTGTGTGTATGTGGTGCGTATGTGTTTTTTTCCCCCCGTAAATCATACTCACTCATTGGATGAATATCTGAAGAGAATAGAAAAGTGAACGTGATAATTTGGCTCAATTACAAAGTGCTTCAAATTGATTTTATCAATAAATTTGAAGTGTGCGAGAGAAGAATCGGTTTGATATTTTCATTTTGAAATTGGATTGGAATAGCTTCAACTTTATTGATGCCTTAAAAAGTTGAACACATGAACAGTTGGATATGTTGGCATTCATTCATTTGTTGAAATGGAAATATACTGCTATTAATTGAAATTAAATTGATCAGTTGACATTGATACTCACAATTTATGGACTGTTGAATATCATTCGATAATTTTGCCACTCAATTAGCACTCAACATCAGTTTAGATTCGTTGCCACTCAAGTGAATGTGCACATTGAATGAGTATTTTACATAGTGTCGTTTTTTGACAAAAAAGCCGAAATAAGTAACATAGAAAAAATGAAGAAAAGATATGAATGCAAAGATAAACTTTTATGAAGAAAGCGTTTTACTTGAATCACAGGCTATTGTTGATGTTATTTTACAACACATCGGGTCAAATATTCGTAATTTTACATCACAATGAGATGCGCGTGAAGAGATTACTTATAAAATGTCAGTTGACACATTCGTATTAAGCAACTGGGAATAAATTTGGGAGCTAAAGAACTTCCGTAATAATTTTTTTCATGAGTAAGACAGTAAGTTCAATATTAATAATTTCGGTGGCGCATTTTTTTCTCACCAACAATTTAGATTGGGCAACCAACACAATCATCATTCGCAACAGCGCATGAGCTACGGGCAAAGTCGTCCAAATTTTCATAACGGCAGTCACAACATGCATAGCAATCACGGGCCAAATAACGTTGCAAATATTTCGTCGAATGTGTCACAATCGCAACAGCAACCGACAAATATCAATAGTAAAATAGACACAAACATTGGTGTACAGTCACAATCAAATAACCAACCGAGATACAAAACAATGGATTCATCGAATTTGGGCAATCAACAACAGCAGCAACAGCAACAGCAACAGCACGCAAGTCAAAAGTCATCGATTCAAATGACATCGAACAGCGATAATGTGCTTAATTTGGATATTATGGAAATGAATCATGGATGTGTCGATGATCAGGGTGCATTGAATGTCATTGTCACATCGAATGCTTCCAGCAAAACAAAGACTCCGATGTGTTTAATTAACGAATTGGTTCGAGCTAATCAGGTCGGTTACATGTGCTAATCTGGTTTTTTTTTCTTTCTTACTGAAAATGCATGTGTTGAACGATTATGTTTGAACGAATTTGTTCCGTCATCATTTTTCAAAACAGTTAAAACATCAATACCGTGTGACCGATGAGCGGGGCCCATCTCATGATAAAGTTCATACGGTTGTATTGGAATTGGGTGACGAACGATACAGTGCACAAAGTAAGACGATCAAAGGTGCACAACAATTAGCAGCCGCAACTGCTCTCGAAAAAACCAATTATAAACAACTAACGAGCCGAACGCCGCGCGGCTTACTTGCACGACATCCACGCGAGAAATATGGTAAGTGCTCTCGGGTTTCTTCTCGGATTACATGTATTGAACCTTGGGCGTGTTTCTTTTTTTTTCTTCAATATTCATTCACAGGTCCCGTCAACACAATCACACCAACCGTTCAATTGAATGCATTGGCCATGAAACGAGGCATTCCAACGAATTATTCGTATGCATACCCAAAGTCTCACAATGAACAGGCCCTAAATCTCGCACGAAATGCACGCATCAAAGGGAATAAAATGCGAAATTTCCGCGAAAAATTCCCAAACCAACGGTCACCACAATTTATTCATCGAACCACCGAAGATGATCCATATCGGGTGACCGTTGTAATTGGGGATAAGCAATTTTCGGGCACCGGTCTCACATTGCAATCGGCCAAACATGATGCTGCATCAAAGTAAGTGGATTTTATTTGAGTTGTGATCAACAAACCATTGTTCTATCCGGCACATGGTTCGTTAGGTGTTGGTTTTGATTCAAATCATGGATATTCTTTTACTAAACGTTGAATACCATTTTGATTCACAGAGCTTTGATCGAATTACAAGATGAACCGTCGAAATCACCACAATCAACCGTTTCAAATAGCTATGAATCACCCGATGATAAAATCATACATGGAGTCATACCAGGCGACATGAGTGTTGATCGAATCAAATCGGCAATATCAGTAGTACAGGAAATTGCACAGAAACGTGATCTACCCATACGTTTTGTGGTTGAAAATGAAACCGGGCCAGCCCATATGAAACATTTCATCATTAAATGTTCGGTTGGTGAGATCGAAGTGAGTATTTGTCGAATTCGATTTCTCTGCTTGAAGATAAATACCGAATCAAATTTGTGTAACATGTTCCCCGCTCTTTTTCTCTCGATACAGACAATCGGTGAAGGAAATTCGAAAAAAGTGGCCAAAAAGCATGCAGCTGAAAATATGTTGAATGAATTGAAAAAACTACCACCAATTCGTAGCGCAAGTGAAACGCAAGGAAATGGACGTCGCAAAAACTTTGTGGGCAAACGGAATGCATCGTCGAATAGCCGGCAACAAGTGCAACAAATTAGTAGTACTCGTCGAAAAGGATCGGCAACCGTGGTGGTGGTCAAAGAGGTGAACAACACGAATGTATTGAGCACTGAAACTGCCACAACCATCACACCGACAACCAATACCGCAACCAATGCCGTCGACGAAAGTGAGCTCAGCAATCCGATTTCAATGTTGCTTCGCATTCAGCAAGCCGCCAAACAATCTGAACCGGATTACCAAGTGGTCGAAGAGCGGGGCCAGGGTCGTCGCAAAGAATTTGTCATGGAAGTGACTTGTTCGAATTTGACAGCGCGCGGTATTGGTAGTAGCAAAAAGAATGCCAAACGTGAAGCTGCCAACAATATACTCAGTCAAATGGGCTACAGCGAATCGGGTAATGTGGATACGGTCACCGGTCCAAATGCAAACAACAACACGGATAAAGGCCGGAAGGTAACATTCTCGGAGGCAAGAGTGTACAGCGAAAATAATGGACAATCAATTGGTAGCAGTGGTGGAGGTGCTGTCGGGCGTCAGCTCGTGCCAGGTCTTTTATTGGTTAAGAGCCCCGAAAACAATAGAAGTAAGTATTCGAGATTTTCACGCAATTTTGCGAAGAAGTTTCTCATTCGAAATTATTCGTACTTATTCAAAATTTAGAATCGAAATTCAAAATCGACGCCAAAACAGCGAATCAATCAGGAATAAATTACACAACAACTGCAACTATTGCCAAAGAATTGCTCGATGCGGGAACGTCTCCAACAGCTGAAGCCATTATAAATCAAGGTTCACCGGTTAAGAAAGCAGCACCCACCGAAGAAATCAAACCAGCATCTACTGAGGTGTCACCATCGAAAATTGAACCGAACAACAATAACATCGGCGAAATGAAATCAACAACACAATCGCATGGTGGTATCCGTGCCACTGATCAATTGCTCTATTTGGCTCAACTACTCAAGTTTGAGGTATTTTTCTTGATGAGTTTCTTTTTTTTCGATTTTCAATTTTGATTCCATCGATTTGCGAAAATTTCGTTGAATTTTTCTCAAACTGTTTGCAATCAAATTATTTATTCCGTATCTTTGAATTCGATTGGACTTAATTTATTAATAATAATAATATGATGTAACACATTAATATACTAATCCTTCTTCCAGGTTCAATTTGATGATTTTCCACGCGGTAATCACAAGGACTATTTAACACTGGCATCGCTGAACACCGATCCGCCGCAAATGTTCCATGGTTCGGGCAGTAGTTTGGAAGCGTCAAAGAATCAAGCGGCATTGGCCGCATTGAAAGCGCTCAGCGAGCTTGGCTTGGACAATGTGAACAAGCCAAGAGACCAACCGCCAAAATCAATACTGAGCAATGGAAAATCCAACTAAATTCAATCGCGTTTCGACATTTTTTTTTCTCTCTTCTAAATCAATTTATCAAGGCCATATCCCTAATTTATTATTTTGTTGCAAGAAGAAAAAGAGAATGAAGAGTGAAGCAACCGAAAGTTATCATTTGATAGTATTTTGAAGAAGATGAGAAAAATGTCGATAAAGCATAAGAAAACTTAGCAAATTCAAAAGAAAAATGTGCTCACTAGTTAAATTTTTACGTTGCTTTCGGTTTCCGTGCTTCATTCAATATCGACACAATAGCACACCCCACCAAACGAATAGTTATTTTTTTTTTCTTTCGTCCTACCTATTTTCTTTCGCAAGTCGAAATTCATTTTTTTTTTGCTGCTTAGTCTTATATGTTTATAGTTTTGCCAACCAAACACACACACACTTACATACATACACACAGATCAGCAAAAGTGTAACCGAAATGTTTGCAAAAATCATTTTGTCGTTAATTGTATTTAAATCACACCGTGAAGATTGTATTTATTATGTTCTCGTTAAAAAAAAAGTATAGAAGAAGAAGAAGAAGAAGAAAAGCCAAAGTATTTTCGAAATAATTTATTGTAATTTTTGTGTGTTTTGTACCATCAAAACCAAAACCAATCCCAGCAAACAATACAAGTTTCATGATTTAATATTAATTTGAAATAATTGTAATTTATATATTTAAAAAAAAGAAGAAGAAAGAAAAATGCATATAAAAAATGAAAGAAACACTTGAACGGTTGTTACTAATTGAAATCAACAACAACAACATCACATTTGAATAACAAAGGCCCTTTTAGAGACGCAGAAATGCTTAAAAAGTGACAAGTTCGTAGCCGTTGACACATAGTATATGGCTGGTAAACCAAACGAAGATAGTCATTTTATTCGCACACACAACGGCTATAATACGAATGTCAAGCCAATGATATAATAACAGCAACAGAAAAACGAAATGGAAAATATTTCGAAAGCTAAAAAAAATGAAGAGTATACTGTGATTATGGCTTTAAACATGAATTATACCGAATGTCGTGTGGGTGTGTGCCAGAGAAAAAAGTTTATCTTTCGACTGTTTGCCGCCACTACTCAATAAATTACTTTTTTTTTTGTTCATTTTTGATTCAATAGCACGTAAATTTATGCAAAATTGACTCCTGTGAAAGTTAATTGATATTCATAACACATGTTCGGAAGTGAAGAGGAACGTACATATGTGCCCAAACATATTGCGAGTGTCAACAGAAAGAAAATGGTCGCGCTTTCTGTTGTGCTCACTACTCTGACACAACAACAGAACGAGAAAAAAAAAGAAGCAAATGTAATGAGACTTAAGGAATTTTCATTCAAGTCATAGAAATGTTGAAAACCCAAAATCAATGAAATCAGAAATGAAGAACTGTTTGTTAAGAAGGAAAAGAAAACCCTCGATGTTTTGAATCTCAACCGAAATGATGCCGTGGCGTTGAGATGAAAACTATCACAGAATAATTCCAAAGAAATGAAAGGAAACCACAACAAAAGCCAGTCAAATGGAAATTGTTCATTTTGGAAGGACGCATACAAACAAAATGCAAACAAATATTAATTTCTTTTATTAAACATGCGGAATATTTAACAAGAAAGAAAGAAAAAAAGGAAGCAAACTTTTTTGCAGATATAATCAGAATATCAGAGTTTGATCAAATTTGAATTAGACTTAAATGCCATTTGAATTAGTTTTTTTCCCACCACCACGTGATTGGTGTGTGTGTGTGAAAAAAATCAATTGCAAATGTAATCGGCGTTTCAAATCGAAGAATAAATTATTTTCAACCATTTCGAAAGATCTAACCGCGTTCGCGTGAAATGAAAAAAAAAACAAATGATTGATAATTAATATTAATTAATTTCTATCTGAATCTATGAATAATTAACCGAATAAAAAAAAGATCGTATTTTTGTATATCAAATGGAATTGTTCTTGACAACGTCGAAGAATGAAATGTGTGTGAGTTAAATCTTTCAAAAATTGAAAATAATTCATTCTTCTCCTTCTCTAAATATTATTAAACAAAAAGAGAATGAAAAAAAAACCCTAAAAATTTAAGTACATAAATGTTTTACTAGATACACAAACATACCAATTTCTCTATGTTCTGATCCAAAATACTACCAAAATATCAAAATCATCACAAACGTGCAACAGTAACAAGAAGAAGAAGAAGAAAAAAATAACAAAAATCCCCAAAGATTAAACGATAAACTACATCAAATGCTATTATTTTTTAATGCTTCTAGAAGAAAATGGGCTCGGGGAGGAAATCGTGCACATTAGCTCGCATTCTCATTCATTATTCCTATTTTTTCTTTCAACTGAACAAAAAAGTAGAAACTTGAATGGGACATGAAAATGGTGACACTTGAAAAAAAGAAAAAAAAAGAGAGGCATTAAGATATAGTAGCTAAGAAGAAAAAACTTGCAAAAAAAAAGCCATTGAAACATTGTGTGAAGGAGTCGGTTCAGATGCCGTTTCCAATATTCATACCCACACACACTTACAATCGGAAGTGCATAGGAATTTGGACCAAATATTTATCTACTTTAATGTTCTAGACTTGATTTTTATGTGTGCGTGAACTATTTTTCATTAAGTCAAACAATGTAGGGCAGAGGAATTTCAAACCGATCGAAAACCCAAACAAAATGAAACTTCTGAAAAGCAGAAAAATTTATGAAACGTACCATTCGAATTACGATGGATAAATTACATGCATCACACTTACACACCAACGTACCGATTCGGGCTCGCTGATGCCAATTTGCCAAATGTATATGGAAATTGATTTGCACAGTCAATCAATCGTTTGATTCGAATTTCGGAAATTTCATTTCGACATGCATCGTTCAATACGCAAACACACAAGTTTTAAATTCCTCTGCTCTGCTGATAGACTTTAAGTTTTGAATCAATCATGTAGGAGTAATATTATAATCGTATTGCATTCACATTTACTTACTGAAAATCTAATTAATCAATGGATTTTGACCAATATTAACCAAGTGTGAAGAAATAAAGATGGTACATGCTTGAAAACGGAGAAGGAAGAAGAATAAGAAGAAGATGATGATTGAAGCAGCCATAGTCAGTGTGATAATTTCCACTGGACAGAAAGCAGATGTTCATCGTCGAATACGACGACGATGACATCATCGTCATGTGGATGGGTTCTATTGTCCAATCTCAATGCGAATGCATCAATTCATGAATGCATGAATCGGTAAACAAATAAATGACAGAAAATGGAATTTTCATCGGAATGGTTTCCCCACATTTAAATTCGCTTTCATGTGTATGCATTTGTGAATTGATACAAAACGAACGATAATTCTTTCGGCTTGATTTTGAACGAATTTTTTTTTCTGTTGTGTTTCGTTCGGCATGAAAGTGAGAATGAAAAATTCAAAATTTTCTCATGGAAATTGGCCAATTGGCCCACTCCAAATAGGATGTAAGGTAATTGATTGAATTTCAGATAAAAGGGAGAGACTGAAATCCACAAATAAAACATACGTGTCACTTTAGCTAGGCGAAAACATACACACACACACACTCAGTGAAGATCTAACGTATTTTTTGCACGCATTGCAAATTGCACGCATGGATCACATGACATCCGAAAATGAAGAAGACAAAACGTACACACCAATAGGTCAAAATCCTGAATATTCTCTCAAATTCACTCAAATTCATACACATTTTGCACACATTATTTTTCAGAATGTATACAAACCAAATATTTATAAATAAAATCTTATCGAGATAAACAAATTGATACCAGCACTTGTGGAGGGGAGAGAGAAAGAGAGAGAGAGAGAGAAAGTGATAGATAGAAAGACGAAAAAAGAGCTAAAACACTTGATGTGTTATTCAACACACAATTCATATCATTCATTTTTGCAATTTGAACATCGAGATAGTTCGAAACGATTCATGTGTCAATACGGTGGCTAGCTTGGTTTCACTTTATCCAGCGTATTTGCACATTCTCACATCAACGCTCACTTGCACAAATGTATCGATTTGAACATCTCGCGTCATCTGATGTTTATCACCACAGTTTGAATGAAAGAAGAAGAAGATTTACAACAACAACAACAACAACAACAACAACAACAACAAATGAAATGAATACAAAGCATACCACAAGATTCTATCAATGAAATTCGAATTAAATTTTAAGCAATTCAAATCAACAGACATTTTTTTTCTAAGATGAGACGAACCAGAATATGCAAGATACATCGGCAATAACGGAATAAGTTTTATGATAAATCAGTTATGATATTTATGAGAAAAATAAACAGAAACACACATACACACACAAAAATATGAGTCAACCGAAAATGAAATGAAAACAACAACAAAATAATTGAAAAAAAAATGAAACGAAAAAAAAGAAAAGAAATAATCCATGAATTCAATCAATAATACGAAAACGATCTCAGTTTAATTTTTCTTTTGCATTCTGAAGCCCTTATCTAAGTGTTTGCTAATTAATTTTTTTTTGTTCAATAATTGAATTTCATTTTATGTTCTCTTCTATGCAATCGAAACAACAAAAAAAACAGTTTGACACCGGACCGAACTCACGGATTTCTTTTGCTCCACACTTACCAAAGTAGTTGAAATATACATGTATAAAAAAAGAACAAGGAATAAAAATTTGAATGAAAAATAAAAATGTTGTCCAAAATAATATATTCAATTTGATCATTTTTTGTTCGTTCAATTGATTTTTCAGAGATAATTTTTCAGCAGAAAGCATTTTTAGTACCTACAATCTTTTGGTTGGTTGAATGAAAATTTACGAGTGTTATTGCAAATTTAAATGACGAACGTTTACTCTAAATATCTTACCAAACTTACAGCAATTACCAAGCAGATTGAGCACTCAAATGCGACCCATGCTGTGCACTGTGCAGTTTGTTATTTATTTGTAACCATTCGAAAGCGAAACAAAAACGACGCTTTCTGTTTAATCAATTTATTGACCGATGAAAATGTTAGATATACTTTTGTCCGCTATTCAAATTCAACGAAATAACAATAACCATCGACTGTCATAAAAAGAGGAGCTACACTTTGGCCATGAACAGCGATAATAAACTATAAGAGCAACGGTCATGCAAATTTGTTTACACAGACCTCTTTCATTTTTTTTTTACATGCAGATAATAATACTAATCAACCAAATGGACTGTCTATGTCCCCTATTCGTTCAGCGTTTTTCGCTTTGTTTCAAGTATTCGTCGGCGGTGGTGAACCAAAGTTCTTCAAGCTCATCTTTTGGTGTTTCCCGTAGTAATGTCAACATTTTCCATCCATTTTCTTGAGATGACAACAGGTAGTCATTTTCTGGATCGAGTGAATGAGTGTAGGCACCCATCACAAGACTTTGACACAAACGTGCTGCAACACAAATCTGCAAATGAAAAACAAACAAAATCCGATTTCCAATTAGCAAAATTAGCCTCGTCTAGAATGATTTAATTCAAAGTTCTATTGAGATATACCGTAAGCACGTTACGTTCATTCTGTGGGATGAGACGTAGTTGCTGATAGCCAGCAATGACATATCCAGCCGTTTCGAGTTCACATGACTGTAATATCATGTAAGCGATAGTAATTGCCAATTCAAATATGTACAATGATTGTGAAGTGTCGCCGAAATCAATGACGCCCGTCACACGAAACTCCTCCAATTCCGGTGAATCTTTTGTAACAATCAAATTATGCTCGTTACAATCGCCATGGATGACACCCTTTGCGAAATCGCCGATACGCGATAAAACATTTTCTTTAAAATCGGCCAGCACCTCTTGGACCAGCTCTTGCTTTTTCGGATCGTTGATTGCGTACAGTAATTTTGTCAATTGTGTTACCGATTCCAGCATCCAGACTGTTTTGTGATTGTCGTACGCATCGTGTTGGAAGCGTTTCAATGCCGAATCAATTTTCGCCACAAATTCACCGACTTGATAGAATAAATGCTTCGTTTTCAGTACATCGTTGAATATTCGGCCTGGGATGAACTCTAGCAAACGCACCAAATGCAACGATTCGCCAATTTTCTCAATTGAATTATACTTGCCGAAAATATTCATAACTGGTTTTGGACAATTGATTCCTTGCTGGCGCAAAAATAGAACCAATTGCGTTTGTCCGTCGAAGAATTTCGCTTTTTTCGTATCGAGCGAATTGACAATTTTCAAAACATAGCCGTGCGGCCAAGCATTCGGTATAATCGGATTTTTAATATTTCTATTGAACAAAAGATGAAATCAGATATGCAGATTAAATCATTTTTGCTTCGGTTCGACTGTGTTCCATCGAAAAAGATGCAATACTTACGTGTCCACATGAATGAGAAAATTTTTATCATCATATGATACTAGTTCGGAGATGTCACGTGTTGAAATGCCATACAGACGTTCGGCCAAACGAACTGCTTCTTCTTCGCTGATTTGCGGCTTGATTTTCGATCCCGGTTTCA